TTCTTCATCGATTAGGGGAGGGCGATCTTAGAAACCACAACAACCGACCACACACGACCTGACTAGAGGCATAGAAACCTCCAAGGGAAGAGGGCGATCTCTCCTTTTCAGCCCTTTCCCTTATCTCCAGTCGAATGCAGAAAAAAAAAGGAGAAACCCTAGGTAGGGTGCGCAGAGAATAGAAATCTAGGCAGATTCAATCAGCTCTGATACCATGTTATGATTCGGCCTGCCTTAGAATTCTATCTGTCTGAGATCGGTTAGGTAGAAAGAGGTAGAAAGGTGGAAGAAAGAGAGAAAGAGAGAGGGGGAAATTCTGGTTCGAACTGGAAGTGTCAACCTCACCTTCTCCCAGTCGGCCAGACAAAACTTGTATTATTAAAACTGATTGAAAAGACATATGTGCCCTTATTTAAGTTAGGAGCACTGGTTCAGACCTCATGTACCTACACCCCACAACAAAACGGGGTGGTTGAGAGAAAGAATCGCCATCTCCTGGAAACAGCAAGATCCCTCATGCATCACATGCATGTTCCCAAACCCTTTTGGAGTGATGCAGTGCTTACCTCATGCTTTCTGATTAATCAGATGCCCACGTTCATCCTTGATGGTCATTCTCCGTTTCAGGTCTTGTTTCCCGCATTGTCTCCGTTTCCTCTTACGCTGAGGGTATTTGGGTGTGTCTGCTTTGTCCATAATCTGGGTCCCGGGAATGACAAGTTCGATGCCCGTTCTCTTAAGTGCATCTTCCTTGGCTATTCTCGGACCCAGAAAGGGTATCGGTGTTACCATCCTAGTTCTCGACGGTCCTTTGTGTGTGCTGATCTCACCTTCTTTGAGTCTACTCCGTTCTTTTTGGGGTCCGGTGATGCTTCTTCCTCCTCATCACCTCCTCCTCTTCCACTCCCCGTTGTTGACCCTCTTCCCTTGGTTCCAGCCGTGACCAAACCCTTGCCTTCGGTGCCACCACCTGTTGAACGCCCACCTATCCGTCATGTGTATACACATCGCCCACGCGTACCAACAACTACTCCTCTGGCTACATCTCCGTCGACGGATCCGGCACCAAACCTGCACTCAGCATCTGAGCTTGACCTTCCCATTGCTTTGCGGAAAGGTAAACGCACTTGCACCCTTCATCCTATTTCYAATTATGTTTCACTTACTCACCTTTTCGCTTCCCATCGCCAGTTTGTCACCTTGTTATCATCAGTTGTTGTCCCTAAGGATGTCCAGGAAGCCCTTGCCTCTCCAGGGTGGTGCCGAGCCATGGAAGAAGACTCTCTGCCCTTCATCATAATCATACTTGGGACCTCACTGCTCTTCCTCCTGGGAAGCA